CACGATATCAGTAAATTTAACTACAATCTCCAGCACGAATCTATTTCCTATTTAATATTAACTTTAAAAAGATATACAAAAATATGTTTTGTATCTTGTATTCATTTACAATAAATATGAAAGCATGTTTTCCACAATGTAACATAAAAGTTAAATCACGAAATTATCTGTACTCGATGTTTCTGTACCGCCGATCAGTTCCATCACTAATCTATCTAGATAATTTGGGTCTAGTTTATAAGACATCAAAATCATTGATATGTACAATGATGCCTGTTTCGTTGATAATACAGTTTTCAACTGAGGATCCATCAAGCTCAACCTGGAACGATGTTCATTTAGAGTATATTCATTTAATTTATTCTGTAGTACTTACATTTTGATAATGATAAGACCCACGAGAGTCCATTCGGCCGTTTTAAAGACGATATTCGCAGCGGATAATGAGAAAGTATTAACTAACGCTTTGATCAAAGTACTCTTTTCACTGTTGTATACATATTGAGGTAATCTGTTACTAGATAGCATACGTAACAGATCAGGTAATCTACGAGATAAAGATTATATTAATATTTCTGCCATAGCAAAAATTTGGAATAAACATGGAAGGCTTACATTCGGTTAAGTTTATCTAAAAATATTCGACGTCTAATCGCTTTGGGTGCATGTGCATCTATCAAAGGTAATACTGGAGTAAAATTATCTTGTTCTTTAGTTTCTGTACTACTACGATTATCTATAACCGTACTGCCCTTATAAAATGATTGTACCTGAAGAGTAATAATTTTATCAGAGATCCATCATTTAATTTTGTTAAATAATACTTACTTTTAATTCAATTTTCTTTCCTTCTTCTTGAAGAGCAGATAAATCTGGCAATGGTTTTAAACTATTCATAGTTAGATTTATATTATCATCCTTCTCATCTTCCAGTTGTAATTTATTTAATCTTTTACACAAATGCAAATATCTGTCCTGTTGAATTATATTTTCTAATAACCGAGTTTTATCATCTTCCTTTCCCGACAATAAACAAATGGTGTCTTCGGTAATCCATTCCCTTGCACTTACTTCAATGCGTGTTGCAAGATTATAAAATTCTGTTGGTTCTGCATCTTTAACTAAATTCTTTTTATGTTTCTTCTGTTTACTTTGATTTATTTTTTCTACAGAATCTTTATTGCTAATAGTGTCTTCTTCAATTGCTGATCCAATTTGTTCCTTGTTTCCTATATCTTTTGAAGTTGTGCTATTATTTGCACTCTCTACATTTCGAATGTTTGGAGTGCTGTCTTGTGTATTAAACTCTGTATCAAGATTATTCTTTTCATTTATATGGGTGCATGGATCTTCCATATCTTTACATTGTTCCTCAAAGTTATTTGAATACTGCTCACTAATATCAAATTTCCTTCCTGGATTTGGTTGGACATTTTCTTCCACTGTTCCTATTCCATGTGCGTTAATTACTGTACGAACATTCACTGGGTCTTTAATAATTGTTTCATCTTGCTCATCATCATTTTTTACATCAGGATCTACAGTGCTTATGTCTCTCACGTCAATTTCATCACCAGGAGCACTTCTTAATTTATCTGGAGCTAACAGTATTTTAAATTCTGGAATCTCTTCTTTTTCTCTTAGCCACAAGGGGCTTGTCAGCATTTGTTCCAAAAGATATTTGCAAGCACCAAAACAACTTGAACTACAAAAGTTTTTCCGTAACGATACATCATATACTTTATTTTTCTTGGTCGATATATGATATTGTTGATTGATCACTTTTGTCAGTGGATTATTACATAGCACATAGCCACACAATTTAATTATAGCTCTTTCTTCGATCACATCTTCCATGTGACTTTTGTTAATATATTTTAACTACAAAAATACAAAATAAATGTAACGGTATTTAAATGACAATGAAATAGGTGCTTACATTGCTTAAAAGCCATTGGGAATCCACTTCGGGTTCTAATAACTGCTCTACAATCGCGAGAGCTTTAGCATCGCACTGTTTCTTCTTAATTATTGCTAACTGCATCTGTGCCTTGCTTAAACAAAAATACAAGAAATTAAATAATGAATAAAAGAGAAATTAAAGACATCTCACCTCAGTTTCTTCTTCACTTTTTTCTGTTCAAGCATTTCCTTTTTCGAATACGAGGCCATCATTAGATAACAATTTATTTCCGATTGTTTTACAATGAAAATCTAAATGTTAATAATACACGAGCGCCAGGCGGTACGCAGCGGTAAGATCCCCGACATCCCGATCCGACAGATCCCGAAGTTGGCTTCCTGTGATCGAAATTCCTAGATGTTGAAAATGGGGACGAGTTGATTCGTATAATTTAAAAGTTAACGCGTGCGCGGATTGGAGATTGTATTCCAGAAAGCTCAGAGCTTAAAAGTTTCACCTCTATAAAGAGGATCCTTTGTGGCCTAGAGCTTGAGCAAGCTTGCAGCTTGAGTCCTCGTCTGGTGGTCCTCGTCAGTCCTCGTTGGTCTTCGTCAGGTCCTCGTCCTTAGATGTCAGCAGATGTCAGCGGTGGCCAGTCGACGTTTATAAATGTCGCCGCACCGATGTCGAGCTTTCACAGTGAACTGGTGAATCGTCGTACGTGATGACGGCTCGTGACTGAACCTCGAACGGCGATGGGCACACAAAAGCCGGAAGAATGGGCGAATTTGCTGATCACGCGTTTCGAGGAACAGGTAGAGAAATATATGTTACCCGAGCTTCCACGGCCCACCCACGAAATCCGTTCCATGCCTCCCTCTCTCTTCCTCATTCATCTTTCTCCTGTACGCTTCCTCTCATCCCTACGCTTCATCCGTACCTTCGATTCTGTCTCGTTCTATTTCCTGTTCAACACTTCGTAGATTAATAATCGGTTCCTGAAGATTCGTTCATCCTTTCGTTCGCGGTTCCCATTCATTTCCATACACTATGTTGAAAAAATGGTAGTTAACATTAGGGAATTTTGAATAAACGGTCACGTTAAAACCGTTAAATTTTCTACTAAGATTATCTAAATAATGTCATCTACTATCATTACGAATAAAATGATGTCATCTTGCGACACTTTTCCGAAATTCTTTATTGCCTCTGAGCTGCATATTTCGAATTATTATTGCCGTATTTTGTCCTTAATAATTTATCTGGCCAATTGAAACTTGGAGCAAAGAAATTCGATCTCCTATCACAGCGATCTTTTAAGAAAAAATTAAAGATCAATAAGTGATATCCGAATCAGAATTATTTGAAAAATATAAAGCTTGCTTAATTAAAAAAGTAAGAAGGTCCGATTTCATTCAGACAATCGATTGTTGAAAGGTACACAAATGATTGATTACAAATCGGATGACTTTCATCGGATGTCTGTTAGTACTTATATACAACATAACTTACTACACGCTAATATTGAACTGTTTAACTGAGATTAACTGCTATAAGGATGCTGTAGAAACATCCAGTATTAGTTTTAAATACTGATATTCGACTAGAATATTCAGTATTAATAATGAATGTTTTAAAATATTCAGTTGCCGTGTCGGTGTGGTCCCCAGACCACTCATTCCCGTATGAACGAGGAGAGAAACAAGAATTGCCTAATACAAATCTCTCGATATCGTTTCTCACTTGTAATATCAAGCCTAACGAAGATATTACAAGGCGTGAACGAACTCGTTCCTTTCACCGGTGGTCAACGGATATTCCACAGCACAGAACAAGATCGACACTGTTACGAGTCCATTATTATCATTCTGGATACATTAGAAAAATGCCTCGCGAATCAACCGAAAGACACTGCAAAGTTCGACGAGGCTATGAACGTTAAGTTCCTACTCAAAGAAATCTGTCAGTTCATAGGTAAGCGAATCCTGGATGGACAAACACTGTGCTGAAAAGCATTAGACGCAACCATCGTTTTACTGTATGCACAATCGTGCATAGATCGTTATTATAATTTAACATGCTGTCTTTTTAGATATACCAAATGACAGTCCTCAGAATGCTCACCTAAAAAACTTGGCAAGCAAAGTTTTGTTTGCCCTTAGCTTGAATTTTTTCAATGCTGTATTCAACAGAATATCAACAAAGCTTCAAGAACTGGCGAAATCCGGAGATGAAAACGCCGATTATAGCGACATCGAATTGATCCAACATATTAACGTTGACTTGTGCAGGCTAACGAAACTTTTAAATGGTAATCATTTGTCTTACTACGAGCGATTGAATATTTAATACGATCAGCTTCATCATAGAACTTACAATAATTAATTGCAGAAGCGATTCAGAAGTTCAAACAACTGAAAAAGTCGGCGCACGTAGCTCTAATGAACTCGTTGGAGAAGGCTATATGGAACTGGATGGATACTTATTCACATGAATTCGCAGACCTCCAGAAGAAACCGAACGAGGAATTAGGGAAGGCTTGCGAGGAGCTGTTTGATACTCTTGATACGTTCGCTGATAATAAAAAAGGGCGAGCCGCGACCGTATGGCCTCTGCAAATGATGCTTCTGATACTATCGCCGAAAATACTGGAGGAAATAGTAAAGGCTGACTTCGGTGCTGGATGCTCGCCGCGGCACTCGAAGAAGAAACAGTTCATCGACAGCGTGAAACGTGGCCTAGGGATGCACGGTAGTTCTAGTAAACAGTTAATGGAAGCGGCTGCCGTCACCTGTATAAAACTTTGCAAAGCGTCGACCTACGTGAACAACCTCGATTCGAACAACGTTATATTCACCCTCGTTCAGCACGTTATGAACGATCTGATGGCACTACTCTTCAATCCTGGAAAAGTGTTCTCGCGTGGCCAGAGCTACGTTGCTCAAGACATCGACCTAATGATAGACTCTTTTGTCAGTTTCTTTCGCATCAAACCGCAGAACAACGAAGTACTTAAAGTTTGCTTGAACCTTAATCATCCGACGATATATCAGTTCGTCTTGGTCAGCTCGTTATACAAGTAAGAGGATGACAGTCACGATTGTCAATATTGATAAATAATCATTTCTATTTGATATAAATACTTAGTATTGATACTGAATAGAAATCATTAAATTTATATACTTCTTTCAGAATTGTAACTCAACCAAGACTGCCATGGTGGCCTCAGATAGATCTTCTCTATTCTCGCAGCGCGGAACTTAGAAACATGTTCACTGATATTTTGAACAAAGTCACACAGAGTTACATATCACACACGCCGTTGCGTATGATACAAAGTTTAACGCTCAAGGGGAAAGAGCAAAATAAGTACAGGGACCGCGGCGAGGAGATATCCAGTTACAGAAATCTACTACTTTGGATGGTTAAACTTATTCACGCTGATCCCATGTTACTCCTGCACGTGAGTACTTCATAGATACACTATTTTTATTATACGCTCGTTGCACAATATATATCTTTGGACATTTTTATTACAGAATCAAGGGAAAGCAGGTCATGAGATTCAAAGCTCGACACTAGAATTGATCAACGGCCTGGTATCTTTAATTCATCAACCGTCGATGACAGACATCGCTTACGAGGCGATGGAAGCGTTATTAGTACTGCATCATCCGGACAAAATAAAGTCGTGGAACCCAGAGGCACCGATGAACACGTTCTGGGATGTTAGCTCTCAAGTTCTATTCTCGATCTCGCAAAAATTGATTCAACATCAGATCGTAAACTACACTTGTATATTGAAATGGCTCAAGGAGATACTGATCTGCAGGAACTCGTTTCTCATGCAGAACAAGGACTACGCCAATGTCGGCAGCCAGATCGCCGTTTGCAAACAGGCGCATATTAAACTCGAGGTTCGTACAAATTTTATTTTATCATGTAAATTGTGAAATTACAAGTAATGTAATGCCTGTCTTTACATTCTAGGTCGTATTTTTCATGTATTTGTGGAGCATAAACATGGAGGCTGTGTTAGTATCAATGTCTTGTTTCGCTTTGCTCTGCGAGGAAGCGGAAATTCGATGTGGTAGCGACGAGGTAGCGGTGACATGTCTGTTACCAAATTATCATTTGTATCTTGAATTGGCACAAGCTTCCACTGTGTTAATCACTGGTGTGTTCAATTCGCAATATTATCTTTTATCATTCTTCTTGTAAAATGTATTCCTTTTCCAAATTTACCAGCAGAAATTCGAATCGAGAAACAAGGGACACGGTAACAACTTTTAATGGCGAGGCGATGCTACGAATACTAACATCTCGATTCGGGTATCTGCTGAAAAAAATGATTATTACGCGAATTCAAACATTCGTTCATGAATTTTTGAATTCAACTTGTATTTTGATCAGTATAACCGTTATGTGGCTGCAATAGAGTATTAAAGATCTTGTTACCATAACAGCCAGCGGGGAAAGTAAGATATGCTATCACGATCACTATTATGGTAAGTGTCGTTGAAAATTAAATAAGTATAGAAAAAATGAACATTTTAATTGTTAGAAAGAAAAGAGAAAAACATAAACCTGGGATTATGCGAGTATCGAAATAAGAGACCTTTTTATGTCGTTTCTCGTTGCTTTTAATTGGCACAACGAGAGGTGACATATGAAGCTTCATCATTTCGACGATCGTCTGATCCCAGTCTGAACTAACGAATAACGTTAACGTAATTCAGCGAGCATATTATATACTTTTTAGGACGTGCCGCATTACAAAAAAGAATTATGGCCTTGTTGAGGAAGATAGAACACTGTGTAAATGGCGTACAACCTGTATGTATACATATATATATACTAATAATTCTATCTTGTGCCGTTTACTGCAAAATAGCTTAATTATGAGCAATTATTATTTTCTTTACTCATCTCATGAGTTATTCATTTAAGCTATAATTATAAAAGAGAATTAATATTGCCATTTCCTCTTTTCCGATAACCATTGTTTTATCATTCAAAGTCTCAACAGTGTTACGTGTCATTTCAACAGTGTTTTGGAAAAAAACCTGGTGATTCTTCTTTCCCTCTGGAGCACCTTTCAGTATTAATATTATTATTTTGTGTCTTATATTTTTTATTAAACATCAAACTTTATATTAAACATTTTCGTTCTCCGATAAGAAATGAATAAAGCTAATAAATGTCTAAAAGTTGTTTTTGTCTGTGTCTTATAGGCTTGGGAGGAAACGTTCAGAAATTGGGAGGTCACGTGCCGACAGCTGGTGAATTATCCAAAGACTCGGACGGAGGACGGACAAATGGAATCTTTTCATCGTAGCACCGGAAAACGGAGGGCATCACAGCAGAATTCGGAACACGAATTAGAGGAACAGATCAACGAGTGGGCGAACATGACAGGATTCCTCTGCGCATTAGGCGGTGTGTGTTTGCAAAAGCGTTCGCCGAACAGGCCGCTGTCCGGGATACCGCTGAATCCAGAAGCTAAGAAAAGCTCGAAGCAACAAGAACCTACACCCTGTTTGTCGAATCCGAGTCAGGAAGTACAGTACTGCACTCAGTTCGTGTATAGCTTGCTGCGTTTGTTAATTTGTAACAATGAAAAGTTCGGGAATCAAATACAGAAACACGTAAAAGAGCTGGTCGGCCACGAGATGAGTCCAGCGTTGTATCCGATATTGTTCGACCAGATAAAAAGCATCGTAGAGAAGTTCTTCAATCAGCAGGGACAGGTCATAGTGATGGACGTTAACACCCAGTTCGTCGAGCACATAATATTCATAATGAAAAATATTCTCGATTCAAAAACGGATCAACCTTCGGAGTATCTTGGAATGACCAGTATAGAAGGAATGATGTTAGCGATTGTCAGATACGTTAGGCATCTGGATATGACCAAGCACTCTGTTCACATCAAAACGAAATTGTGTCAATTGGTAGAAGCTATGATGAAGCGACGAGACGATTTGGCTTTTCGACAAGAGATGAAATTTCGTAACAAGCTCGTCGAATATTTGACTGATTGGGTGATGGGTGCTACTCATCAGATAGCTCCCTCGACCACTGGAGACATCGCTGTTTACACACGAGATTTGGATCAAGCATGTATGGAAGCAGTCGGTGCGCTGTTACGCGGTCTACCGCTTCAACCCGAGGAATCAGATCGGGGCGATTTGATGGAAGCAAAATCTCAATTGTTCTTGAAGTATTTCACTCTGTTCATGAACCTGTTAAATGACTGTAACGAGGCGGCCAGCGAAGACAAGGACATAGTTTCACAGCAACCGCAATTAACTAGCAGTAAATTATCAACGTTAAGAAATGCGACCATACAAGCCATGAGCAATCTTCTCAGCGCGAACATCGACAGCGGTTTAATGCATTCCTTGAGCTTGGGTTACAATCCGGATCTCCAAACGCGTGCAGCATTCATGGAAGTCCTCACGAAAATACTTCAACAAGGAACGGAATTCGATACTCTGGCGGAAACAGTGTTAGCTGATAGATTCGAGCAACTGGTTCAACTCGTTACTATGATCAGCGACAAGGGAGAGCTGCCTATCGCGATGGCCCTGGCCAACGTTGTCACAACGAATCAGATGGACGAGTTAGCGCGAGTTTTCGTCACTCTGTTTGACGCAAAACATTTACTGTCTTCTCTCTTGTGGAACATGTTTTACCGCGAGGTCGAGGTCTCGGATTGCATGCAAACACTGTTCCGCGGCAATAGCTTAGGCAGCAAGATCATGGCGTTTTGCTTCAAGATCTACGGCGCGAGTTATCTGCAAAATTTATTAGAACCGTTAATCACACCTTTGTTGGATGATCCTACTACTGGCTTCGAAGTAGACAGCGCGAAGATAGATGGCAACGAAGATATTGAACAGAATGGACGTAATTTAATCGCATTGACGCAGAAAGTGTTCGATGCCATTATATCGTCAGCCGATCAGTGAGTGATTCAATAATTCTATTGCAAATGTGAACGTTAACAGTTAATGTTCATTTATTATCTTTTCCAGATTTCCACCGCAGTTGCGATCGATGTGTCACTGTCTCTATCAAGTGCTTAGCAAACGATTCCCTCAATGTCCTCAGAACAATATTGGGGCCGTGGGCACAGTGATATTCCTACGATTTATCAACCCCGCGATTGTCTCACCACAAGAAATGGGTATCGTGAATAAACCCGTACCACCGCACATTAAACGCGGCCTAATGCTGATGTCTAAGATTCTACAGAATATCGCAAACCACGTGGAATTCAGTAAGGAGCAACACATGCTACCGTTCAACGACTTCCTGCGAGCTCATTTCGAGAGTGGCCGTCGATTCTTCATACAAATAGCCTCCGACTCCGAAACGGTAGATCAAGCAAACCATCCGATGTCATTCGTTTCCGACGCGAACGTTCTAGCTTTACACCGGTTGTTGTGGAATCATCAAGAACGTATCGGAGACTACCTTAGCAGCAGCAGGGACCACAAGGCGGTAGGCAGGAGACCGTTTGACAAGATGGCCACGTTACTAGCTTATCTTGGTCCGCCGGAACACAAGCCTATCGATTCCCACCTGCTGTTCACTTCGTCGTACGCTCGATGGTCGAACATCGACATGTCCTCGACTCACTTCGAGGAAGTCATGGTTAAACATAACATGCACGAAAATGAGGAGTTCAAAAGTATCAAGAATCTGAATATTTTCTATCAGGCAGGAACCAGTAAAGAGGGATATCCGGTGTTTTACTACATTGCCAGACGTTACAAAATCGGTGATACGAACGGAGATCTGCTAATATATCATGTTATTTTAACATTAAAGCCGTTTTGCCATTCACCATTCGAGCTAGTCGTCGATTTCACCCATACGTGTTCGGACAACCGTTTCCGTACCGAGTTCCTCCAGAAATGGTTCTGCGTGTTACCGAAAGTTGCCTACGAGAATATTCACGCCGCTTATATCTATAATTGCAACAGTTGGGTGAGAGAATACACAAAGTTTCACGATCGGATCCTGGCATCTTTAAAGGGTAACCGGCAAGTGGTGTTCGTCGACGGTCCGGGTCGTTTAAACGACGTGATCGACATCGATCAGCAAAAATTACCAGGCGCGACGTTGTCTCTGGACGAGGATCTGAAGGTGTTCAACGGGGCATTGAAGCTCTCTCACAAGGACACGAAGGTGTCCGTGAAAGTTGGACCCACCGCGATACAAATAACGTCGGCGGAGAAATGCAAAGTATTGTCGCACTCCGTTCTATTGAACGATGTTTACTACGCATCCGAAATAGAGGAGGTATGTCTGGTGGATGACAATCAGTTCACACTGACCATATCGAACGAGACTGGTCCGTTGACGTTCATTCACAACGACTGCGATATCATCGTGCAAGCGATACTTCACATTAGAAACCGGTGGGAGCTGTCGCAACCGGAGTCCGTGTCTGTTCATCCAAAAATAAGACCGAAGGACGTGCCCGGAACGTTGCTGAACATGGCGTTGTTAAATCTCGGCAGCTCGGACCCGAATTTGAGAACCGCGGCGTATAATCAGCTGTGTGCTCTTACCGCGACTTTTGACCTGAAAATCGAGGGCCAGTTGTTAGAAACTTCTGGACTGTGCATACCTTCGAACAACACCATATTTATCAAACACTTGAGCGAGACGCTAGCTGCAAACGACCCTCATCTAACGCTAGAGTTCCTAGAAGAGTGTATACAGGGCTTCAGGCTGTCTAGCATCGAACTGAAACATCTATGTTTAGAGTACATGACACCGTGGTTGAACAATCTCGTACGATTCTACAAGCCGAACGACGAGGGTGGTAAACGGCAGAAACAAGTGACGAAAATCTTGGAAAAACTGATTACACTGACTATCGAGGAAGTCGAAATGTACCCGAGCATCCAGGCAAAGATATGGAGCACCATCGGTGGGCTTCCTGAATTGATAGATACGGTTTTGGATAATTTCATTCAACGTAGCGTTAGCTTTGGATTAGGCTCGCCAACGATCGACATAATGGCTGATACCGCGGTTGCCCTAGCGTCTGGAAACGTGCAGCTCGTAGCGAAGAAAGTTATAGGGAGACTATGTCGGGTAGTGGATAAGACCTGCACTTCGCCGACGCCGCTACTGGAACAGCATACGAGGTGGGACGATATCGCCATCCTGGCGAGATACCTTCTGATGTTGTCTTTCAACAATTGTCTGGACGTCGGCAAACACTTACCATACTTGTTCCACACTGTCACATTCCTGGTCTGCTCCGGTAGTCTGAGTATGCGCGCATCGACCCACGGGTTAGTCATTAACAGTATTCACTCGCTTTGTACCTGCAGCTCGCCATCGTTCTCCGAAGATACTTACCGGATATTACGAATGAGCCTAGACGAATTTTCGTTGCCCAAGTTCTACCTCCTCTTTGGAATTAGTAAAGTGAAATCTGCCGCGGGCACGGCATTTAGGTCTAGCTATAGACACTCGAATGAGAAGTGGTTTAGCAACGAGCGAACTGTCACCGGTACCCACGACAAGGAGAGGCTCTCCTTAACCAGTTTAGAAATTATCACCGACGCCCTGTTGGAGATCATGGAGGCGTGCATGCGAGACATTCCACACTGCCACTGGCTAAAGACATGGACCTCGTTGGCAAAGAACTTTGCGTTTTGTTTCAATCCGGCGTTACAACCGAGGGCGCTGATCGTTTTCGGATGTATCAGCAAAAGTATCACCGATCAGGACATGAAACAGTTACTGAGGATACTAGTCAAAGCTCTAGAGAGTCTCAATGATATCACTCTGCTCGAGGCGATTATTATGTGCCTAACGAGATTGCAGCCGTTGCTCAGACCTGAATCCCCTATACATCGATATTTATTTTGGGTCGCTACGTCTATCCTTCAGTTGGATGAAGCGTCTCTGTACGCGTGCGGCCTCGCGCTTCTTGAACAAAATCTACACACGTTAGATTCGCAAGGGACTTTCGATGAGAAGAATTTGGAAGACGTTATGATGTCGACGCGCGAGCCTTTGGAGTGGCATTTCAAGCAATTAGATCATGCGGTGGGATTATCGTTCAAATCTAACTTTCATTTCGCCCTGGTCGGTCATCTTTTGAAAGGGTACAGACACCCGACGCCTACCACCGTTACGAGAACAGCTAGGGTACTGACCATGTTGTTGGGCATCGTTGCTAAACCATTCAGGCGGGACAAATTCGAGGTGACACCGGAAAGCGTCGCTTATCTATCTGGTAATCATGATATACTCATTCGATAATAGTATTGAACATTTTTATTCAACGTTTAGAATACAGAAAATTGTTAAAGAAAATTACAAGTTAATAACTGTGTCCTACTAGCGTTGGTATCTGTATCGGAGGAAGTGAGAAGTCGATGCCACATCAGACATGCCATTACTAAAAACGTGGAACCTGGCATCACGGATTGCCTCGATCTTTTACTTCCGCACAATACGGTAAATATCTTTACGTGTATAATGTGCACGTATACTTTATATGCATACAGGATGTCTCTTTATGATTTCAAAAAACAAGAAACTAGGAATATAATTTCTTAAATATTACATGTAGGATACTTCGACCGCGATGTCCGGTAATCCAACTAATCGCAGACAAAAATCGTGTGATCTCCTCGACCAGTCCGCTCTCACTCAAGCGAGACAACAGAAACAATTTTCCACTCATCAGGTACTTTGTTATCATTACGTCTATAGAATAATAGTAGTATACATTGATAATAGAATTTTTAATTATCAATTGATCTAAGCTTGGTAGAAGCGAAAAGAGACTTTTTAATATTAAAATAATATTACTTTGTTCTTGTGGCTCCTGTTATGTGCATATAATCCTTCGACAACTACCTCTACACGTCTTTAACAAGACTGGACGGATTTTATTTAAAACCCAGCGATCCTTTTCTGTACCAACTGCAAAGGAAACGAAACCGAACGAGGAAGCTGAACCAAAGGTACATAGCACTGCTTTATCAAATGTAATGTTACGATATAGTATACATTCTATTTTTGTTTCTCAATAAATTAATTATTTCGAATTATGTATTAAGTTAATGATGTGTATAGAATCGGAGCGCGAGGGTCAGCGTCAGCAACGAGAACAACGTGTTGCTCGATCCGGAAGTGCTCACCGATTTCTCGACCCAGACTCTGGTTTTAACCGTGTTAGTCACTCTGGTCAAAAATACAACCGACGAAAACGAGCAACGGATACTTTACGAGTATCTCGCTGAAGCATCCGTTGTCTTTCCGAAGGTTTTTCCAGTCATGTAAGTTCTCTACTCGAAAGTTTTCAATGCTGATTTGCAATATAACAATGCTGATATGCAACATAACAATGCTGATTTCCTTTTTTGTTTCTTTCAGTCACAATTTGCTCGATGCGCAAATCAATAGCGTATTGTCTAATTGTCACGATCAAGGAATATTAAATTCCGTGCAGGCAATCATACAGAACATGATCGCGTGCGAAGACACGAATCAACAGCAGTTACATTACTTACAAAGTTGCGGTTTCGGGGGATTGTGGAGATTCGCCGGGCCCTATACGAATGTAAGTACATTCCTTGAGGATAATTGTGTTTTAATACAATTAATACTAACATGTATAACGAAACAAATATCGGTGTAAAATATCTGTGCACATTCAAATTAGTGTTCATTGTTCGTAGCGAGTATAATATTAATATTTCCAGTCGAATTGCACAGCGGAGAGTGCACAGTTGTTTGTTAACTGCTTGGAAGCGATGGTCGAAACGTGTTTGCCAGTGGATGAGCCGGAGAACTCCACTATTAACGAGATACCAAGCGATAATAGATGCAAACGACCCGGTGACTGTCATCATCAATCGGAGACCGCGCAGAAGAATAAACCATCGGTCTATCACACGATCGATCAAACGGGGACACGTGCTGAACGGACAGACGAAATTTCAAGGAGTACTTTATTCGTTACTAGAGAGTGAGTTGTTTCGGACTATAAAGAACTATTGAACATTGAGAAAGAAAGAACAAGAATAAGGAAGGAGTATCATTTATTTATTTTCAGTCACAGCATTGATAGCAGAGGAAATGTTTCGTTCGATTCGGTGAGCCAAGGAGAGAATACCAGCAGTAGTAATAGTTCACAACCTTAGCGATTAATATACGAATTTAAAAGACAGTGCGGTAAACATGGGCGAAAGCGACGAGTCGGTCGAAAATTGCAAAGACAATTGAGGTAAGTCTTCGATAAAGTAACGATAAAATAGAGAAGCGTAACTTAATCCATTTTAATGTCATTTATTAGGAGAGTAATTTTTTCTCAAACTATAATATGGACTGATAGAGAGACAAAATTTGTTGATTGGATATCTTCGCTTACCTATAATTTCGTTCGTTTCCATTTTCAGCCACGCAAAAATTCTGGCACCGTGTTATTGCTGCAACATGTCGAATCAGTTTAATCCGATGCCGTCCACTTCACGTTGACACGACGTCGTAATACCACAATCCCGCTGGAGAATGGAAATTAAATGCGAGTACGTTTTTGTTAAAATATTTTTTAATTTATGTCGGGTCATTTTTTATGAATCTTTGAGTATAGAGATTGTTTCCTTTTTTCATTAAAATAATATGCCACAAGATGATGCATAAACCTAATGAAATGACCTGGCATTTCGTTATTCGGTTATTAAAATAATTCTCATATGTGAGTATATGTTTGAAGCGTTCAGTTCGCACAGTAGCGTCGAGCAACAGATGTTTTAATACACCAAATGTTATTTTATATGTACATCTACGAGCAACGATATTCTTAAACGTATGTACAATTTTTTAAACACTTTTTACATTTTTCGTTTACATGTTTTCTGTACGTACATACTCTACACTACATGATAATTTAGAGTTTCGCGAGAACATTACATGGTATAATTAACATCGTACAGAGTGAGACATTTTAATAGAAACGCTTCATTGTTTTCTCATTTAAAAAGAAGGTTCGAAAAACAAAATCTGGCACGTAGTAGTATAAACATTTTTTTTAAAGCCATACAATCTTAATATTATTAGTATTTCGTTCGTTTACTTAATTAACATTTATTTATAGGGAACGTAAATGTCCCACACTGTATACAATTCGTGCACGCGGGTATCTTTGTTCCTTTGTGCAAATTAATATTTTTTATAGTATATTCCGTAGAGAGGGAATCCGTTTTCTATTTCCGATATATTGAAAAACAAACTTTAAATATGTATGTATAGCCTCGTGTTACCAGAATATAAAAAAGGTCTATTTATGAAAGAAGATGATATGATAGTTTATCAAGGATGTCTATAATTTTTCCGTTAATTATTATATGAGAAATTGTAACGAGTTTATCTTTCGTTGATACGTGTATAGGGAAAGAAACGTTACGTGGGCAGTCGTTCACAGTGAAAATCATGCGGTTGTGCATCGGCAAAAGTCATTTAATAATCGGAACAATCATTTTCGAATCGTATCACTGAATTTTAATCTCAATCGTTCTAATGACGTCATAAAACGAATCATCTAAATGATGGCACAAAAGAAATGAATAATATAGTTTGTACGAGTTCTTATTTCGCTATTCGAATATTTTTCAGCATTTATTACATAATTCAATATTAGCATTTAACACCAATATACATTATGAAATTCCAACATTCCTATTCGAAACGATCCTACTGCAATCAGGCTGATCACAGAATGTGTAGCATCGTGTATGAGGAGTCCTATACGTACATGTGTACATAGAACTAAAATCTCTCTCTAACTCAGTTTCAGTCAACAATATTTACTCTATTACAGAACTTCGAAAAACTGGACGATTTTCACTGCGAATTATTGTGCGTATGTGTATATTGTGACAGATTAGACTTGATTACGACAAAAGATTGGAAATGAACGAGTTAAACTAAAGCGTGTATAATGTCGCGTTATGATATGGCTACGAGATACAAATGTTTAAGAGAAAGTTATTGTGGATACATGTACGCTCTAGTAAAACACTATTTCAATCATCTGTAAGAAAGAAGTTCTATGGGAGCGGAGTGTTCAAGACGCTTATGTATGTGAACGGATTAAGAAGTTTTCTACGTACATAAAGACATATACATATAACAGAGAAAAAGAAAGAGTGAAAGAAGGAGAGATGAGTATGCCTGTGAAAAATATTCGTTAACAACCTGTGAACTTTAATGCAAAATCACCAAAATATTTTAAACGCTAGGTGATATAATTATTTTTACCATTATATATTAATATCCTGAACGCGATTTTCCTTTCTCTGAAAATAATCATTTGTACTCAGTTATGCTCATCAGATTGCAAACATTGATCTCTATACAATACTGGATAGTGACAGTGGATTGGCATAGTTGGCTCGTTCCATTCTGTCGTGACGAGTTCTTCCCGTTATTATGGCACAGAGAGTAAAAGGACGTAAAAGTTTGATATAACTCTGCAATAAATACGCATAAGCAGATCAAACTCCGATATTCGAAGCGGAAAAGCTTTCTCTTTACAATGCCGTTTGATTCATCTCGATCCGACTTTCGATTCCGGAGATATCGTCATGCAAATTTTTTGGCCACCGCAGTGTCCTCGCATGTTGACCTACCCTAATCCCCGCCAACCGGTCTAGTCCAGGTCTAGACAGTCAACTTGCTACGCGTGAACTGGGTCACTGTGTCAGGAAAACCAAACGCCTAAACTTTGGAAGCCTATATCTCCGGAACAGACGGAGATTTCGGGATGAATCAAAAGCGATTTTTTCATCTTGATTTTCTCTATCAACTGAGATAGTTTTCAATAAAAAATTCAGTGTCCTTGTATCGATTACGTTTGCGCTCAGTAGCGGGCGCATTTTATCTATCCGTCCTCATTTACTTATCATCGCACAGGATCGTTCGGATGACCTAATAAGAGATAGAAAGCGCCTAAGAAGCATGAATAAACTCAACAGCTGTGTCAATCGGGTCCCACTCTCCAGTGTTCTATAGAGATAAGCGATTAAAATAAGTACCATTTGGATTATTATCGATACTTTCCGGTATTTATTATTTTTCAAGCGTGATTGCATTGTTTCGTTTGTGTAAGCAGTAGAGAGTATGTATAAATACGTGTATGTGTATGTGCGTTTTGCGCGAGATCGCACAAATATTCGTGTTTTGCTTTCTAATAAAAATTTTGTTGAGAGGCTCCGGAACTCACCTCTCGTATATCACGCACGTGTATTTCAAAAGGCACATTTTTTTTAGCTACGAAGGAGTAAATATGTTGAATGCGAAAAGATTCATCGATCGTACTTCAATGGAAATAACACCAAGAAGATAGAAAGATAGTTTGAAAGCTAATAAATGAAAAAGTAAGAAGATGGCTCGATCGTTACTCTTTAAAATGAATTCTTTTATCGCCTAAATTGTTTCTGTAGAAGTCCTACATAGTTCTCTTATTTTTTTATAGGGCACTTTTGTAATATACGTGCGATATGTTTAGTATATATACATAATTTTCAACCCCTTGCGCGTCCCCATTGTAACTAACACACCGTGTGGTACCGCACAAAAATATTGGCACACTTTTTAAAATCACATAACTTCTTTAGAAACGGTTGATACAATATTTAGTTTCTCTAATTTTTCGTAAAAGCTCGAATAGTATCGACCAGTTTTGAAACAGTTGCACGACTTTAAAGAATGTGCCAATACGTGTTCTTCCGTATATTTTTATATCGTGTTTAAATATTAAAAACATTTGTTTACTTACCGTATCAAACTAAGTCCTTTAGGTTCAAACTTAATGTTTCTTCTATACTAAATGATCGCTGAAGAATGATCGCAAGGGGTTGATGATTATAAAAATTAAAACAAAAAAACGCTCTGGACCAGCATTACATCTTCTTTGAGAGGATTGCTCGAGCCAACATAATCTTCAGCGCCCAAGAAGAATAACAGCTTAGAAAATTTTTTTAATTTTATTCTCTCATCCCAACTTTGAAAATATTCCTAGATACCCCGTTTACGTTGGGATATATGTAAATAGTATTTCTGTTCTCTTTGTCGCGTCATTCTGCTTGGGAACTGACGTTGCGTACCTATTTTGTTAGCGAAGAGTTCTCGAAATGAAAACACCAATGATTCTATTATCTATCACTTATTAAAGTACAAAGCGAGACCAGACCTCCTCTACCCAAATGCGTGATATTTAAGAAGAAAAAAAAATGCGCGTACACGCAGGTAGATAAGGGGGACACTTTATTAGAATAATTAAATAGTCGAGAGAAGGAGAAAAGAGAAAACAATGACTTTTTTTGTCAAACAATAGCTAAATGTATATAGAGTGTTTCATTTATCTTGCACATTCTTTTATATTTCGTAATTGATTTGAAACGACGAATATTTATAACTGTAACATTCACGATTGTGTAATATTAATCATTCATATTAAATGTATGTACCGTATACGTATACAGGGTAAGTCAATAAGAACTGTCGTCTGTAATTCTAATAATTATTCATTAATTTTACTAGAAGAAATAAATGATGATTTATAGAAATAAAACTTGTTCGAAACTAAAATTAATACAACGCGTGTTATAACATGATTAATAAATGTGAAATAATTCCCGGCAGCATTTTTTATCGACTGACCTGTATATTCCTAAACATTCTTCAGTTTCTGTTAAATTGTTGAACAGGAATTTGATATATATCTATAATAATATAAAATACTAATAATATGAAGATCGAAATGGAACATCCTCTATATACATGTAGTGGGTGAAGCAGATTCATTGGAGCAATAGAACACTCGACGCAAATGATAAACACATTTGTACATAGTGCATACATATATTGTATGTATGTATGTACATAAGCTTTTACGTCGTAACAATTGTCTATTACGCCTAGGTAAAAAGTTTTTGGATCGTAACCCCATAATCATAATATGTATGTACACAGTAGTAGAGTGCAGAAAGTATTTGTACAATAATTTCCAACGTGTATCAATTGATTAATTAGTATTAAATTACCACAGTTCATCTTTCTTCCTTGTGTACATACACTCATGTGATTTTAAGTATTTGGTAAAAAAGATTTGTGCAGATATTTTCTGCAACCACTGCGTACGTACATTTCAGTCTTTAGACAGTTGTACGAAACAGATGATAATCGTGTAAAGAAGAATCTCCTTATGTTAATCAATATTAGGCATTATATATTCGACGAACAATCGATTCTTTTGTCAAATAAAATATCCTAAAGTAAACCGCAGACATTAGTCGAGTTTCAAGCAATTTTCAACAGAAGGCGATTAGATGTTCTAGGAAAATCTTCACGTACGTTAATTCGTTTATTAGTTATTGTAAAACAAATTGCAGAGAAAAAACGACGGTGCTTCTTACATTTGTTTACGAGGAACTATGGTCTAAAAACAAAAGTCTATTAAAAGTGTAAGAACTATACTATCAGATATGTACCACGGTTATATAATATATTTAATAAAATTTGTTGCGATTACTACTGTCAGCTTGAAATATACCCGATTTAAATTAATTGAGAAAATAATTCTTAATTATTTCTAAACAGCGACGTGCCTGACATTGTCCGTCGATCTATTTCGTAAAATGTTAAATGTTCAGGGGTGAAATTTATTGAAACCTTTTCCAAATATTATTAATTTCTATTACTTTTTACGTAAATAACTATTTTTCTCAAGTCCGATGTAAGTAGTTTGCTTCATATACTTTTATTACATTTCGATTAAAATAAATCAACAATATTAAATATATTAGTCTTAAATTACGATTTTTCATTTATATACTTTGCTGTTTCACATATCCTGATTACCACGATGTTTATGGATAAGAATAATATTCATAGGACGCTCGAAACTTGCATACTATACAGAGATTACATCAATACATTCGTCCCATACTGATTCATCATACAATTCACGCGAGACACGGATGCAAATGCACTTAAAATCAATCTTCATACTCATTGAGTATACTTTGTAAATCATGTTGAATATTAATAACGACTATACCAATTAATAGGTCTACGCGTACGTACAATTACGTTTATATCATTTTTTCCATACTTGTATTATGCGCTAAAATTACACAATGAGTAATGAAACGTACAAATGGACTGGGCAGTCTTAGACTAGCCATTGCACATCTTATTCGTAAAATAGATCTTGCACCATTTATTATCACAATTATAAGAATGTTATTAATAAGATATAATGCGATGCAAGCTGCTCTCTCCCTTCCCCGTGTTCATTTTCATTGATAATACTACATCCTTTCACATGTATTTATAAAGCGATTCATAAATAAATCAAGAGCTTGTTTCGGAGAATACACCAATCAAGTACGGTACCTTGCAGTTAATATGCAACTACGTCTTTATCGTCATACTACTCGTACACGAGAGTATCGTTCGTTGATGGAAAATATTTTATGAACTTCGCCAAGCGATGATACCAATCAGTATAGAGAGTATAATAGCTCCGATAAGAACGAGTATACACTTTTTCTTACGCAGCTTGTTTTGATACATACTTGCTTGTCTGACGTGCGACGTAGCTTCGTTTACAGACACCTCAGTCCTTTCGACAGAGGCTTCTATGGAATCAACCATTTCGCGTTGGTCGTATACTATTGTACCAAGATCTTTAAAGATTTTATTGATATCGTTAATATCTTTCTGCAAAGATAAACGTCGCAATTGTAATAGAGACAGACAAAGAGTAATTGAATTGAACTGAAAAGAATTACCTCCATTTCTATTATGCTTGCTTCTTGCTTCTCCAGCATTCGCAGATTCTGTTCCTCTTTCATTTGTTGTAGCTGTATTTGTTTCTGAGTTTTACTATCTTGCAGTTCTATCAACGTCTCCTGTTTCTTCTCGCCGAACGGTGCGATGCCCACGCTCGCTTTTGCTCTTCTAAACATTTCTTTCTCTTTGGAAGCTGCGAGCCTTTGTACTGCCTAAAAAATCAAATTCGTACGTGATTAAATAAAAGATAGACCTACATATATATTGTATATTCGTAAGCTTACTTGGAAAGCATTTAGTGCGCTTGTAAATTCTTCTTGTAAGCGTTCTCTTTGCATCTTACGTTGCCTCTGCTCCCCAGGGCTGGTGGAACCTGAATTATTAGCTAACACAGCTAAGTCTGCAAGATGTACACTAGTATCTTTTGCAAGTTGTTTCGTATAATGCTGTATTTGGTGTCTGAAAGAGGATATCATGCGAGCATAGTAATCGTACTTTATTCGTATAAAACATTCAGCAACGATGACGACTTACAATTGATTTCGTAGCTCCTGAGAATCTGTAGAACTACCCAATTGATTGACCATCTTTTGCATGGAAGATACTGTCGAACACAAGTTGAAACGAATGTTAACTTATGAGTAATTATCGAGTTGAATCTTGATCTCCTTCGTTTACAGAGAATCCATGTACTTACCATTTTGAGATATTTTCAAAATCGACGTCCCAATAGTTTGCGACAGTCTGCCAAAGTCTTGTTCCCTCGTAGGGCCACCGTTATGGTAGGACGAAAATCCGGCGTCCATGTTGACTCGTGTGTTATTTAAGCGAATAAGTTAAAAAGAATTCAGATAATTATTCACTATGCGTGACAGTAACCTCTTTTCCAGAGGTTGTTCGTTCACTGATTAATACATCAAAATATTCGTAATGATAATTGTTGTTCTAGTGTCGTTCCCTTACGCTGGATTTACCACGGTGGTATAAAATTATCCTGTTATTCGCCTTTCGGTACGCACGAAATACGGAATCACAAAAAAGAAATGACACAATTAAATGACAGCTCGTGCTTCAGAAATAGTAAAGGACACCACTAAAGAAGTGTTATCATCTACTTTTATCCCACTATTGTCAACAAAATGATGGCATAGTAAAGTTGATTACAAGTTTACGAAATGACTCAGAGGCATACGATACGACCGTCGAGAAATTAACAGAAATTAACTATTCTCTCTGGCGGACACTACAAGCTGGTATGTATATATGTCTATCGTGCGAACACGAATGTGTTCGTGCGAACTACGCGTCGACAGAATAATAATTATTGTGTGAAATAAACCAAATTCACTATGCGAAGCACTAAAACTTCGCGGAAATCAATAAAGCCTAAGGACAAGTTTGAATGAATACGGACGTCAATGTTTTGTTACAGTATTGCACGTAAAACGATTTCCTTGGTACGCACGCTGAACTGTCGACTCCGTAAGTATAGAATTTTCAACGAAATGACTTTGATAATTGTTTTATTACGATGAACGTAGTGAAATTTCGAAAGTAGTTTATTGTCGAAGGGAAAGGTTTGACGAAGGGAGAATAGAAATAAAATTTTCGAACTGTAAGATTTTTTTATTCTTGGCTTTATATGTATATATAAACATTTATTACAATGCTCTTCGGTGTTTGTGACAAACCTACACGTGCGTTAATTTATTACATTTTCATCGCGTAGTACACGTAGAGTAATAAATATTTTATTCAAATCACATTGGTCGTTACTTTTAATACAGTTAAAAAATATGTACAAAAGTATGTACAAAGAAATAAACCAGTGCTCGTCACGCGAATGATTTTGTAAGCGGAAAAGACTATTATAGCTTTCAAAAATTATGTATTTAAAAAACCGTACTTGAATGTAGTTTGCAGACTTTAATGTTTGTAATATTACTATCGCTCAGTATCGCGATCATAACTATAATTTGAATCGTAATGAAAAATTCCGCTCCACTCATCTCGTCAATGAAAGATTTGTACAAAATACTTAAGCATTTAAATGATACGTAGATGTACGATATGGGAACGTAGAAAAGATCGAGCTGCCGAATTACTTGATTTGAATGGTCTTAAAATATGTAGAGCGACGGTATAACAATTCGGCAACTTGACCGGAAATAAGTGCGCGTTAAATTTAACCGAGCGGTATCCTAGATGAACGTTTCTTTACGTGAGAATTTGATATATTCTTCGACAGGAACGAAAGAACGCCTTAAGTCTATACGTAAGTGCTTCAAGGCCGAATTTTGAAATTAACAAACATTTTTTCTAGATTGCACACGAAAAGATGTTTGTGAATGTTCAAAACGTTCGCCCATTGTCAGTACCTTGGAAAAACCTACGTCAATAAATATATATTTTGAATTATAATGTGTATCATTTACACATAAATGTTTTATGTCCTTTTTGATTTTTTCTATCATCGTTCCAACTATCATATCGTAAAGTATCAGTTTTATCACACGATTAAAAGATATACTTTCAGTAGATTGTGCATTGTCGAGGGAAACGAACGTTGCCGTTTCACATATTTACAATATAAACATTTTAAATGAATGTGAAACAAATTTTGTAATTATAGCATCGATTTCTACGAGAAATTTCAAAATTGATGGCTTCGCAAATTAGAAATTACCGGTACCGTTCTTAGACACGTGTTATACGAGCCGTTTTCTTAATGTAACAATTAAAATCTGTTTCTTCGCTTTATGATAATAATTGAGCGTGACGACGAGCATAAAACGTGATTATGTTGTCAAGTGTCATTAAGTTGAGGTATTCCATGCGTGGTATCGCGGTTGTCGACAGACGACAATTCTCGTCGATCTCTTTGGTCTTCCAAGTTTTCTTTGGTTTCAGTGCTGCTTTTCTTCCTGTGCGTTCACCTAGATACCTTAATATCTCGCCCGTGCTCAGTTTATTTACTGAGACCATTAGCGTAGAGAATTGATTTAGAGAAATTACATATTCACACACTCACACACACACGCGCGCGTAATCACTGCTTCAATCACAGACTGGTTTCCTCAATGGGATCGGTTTTTTGAAGTTGATGTTTCTCATCGATACCTACGAAATACGTCGTTACGTATCCTTTCGGTTTTACGTACGTCTGTCCTCGGAGGTGGCACTTTACATCTTGCTGTTCAAGAACAGCCGCAGTCTCTGCCGTGACCTGCATAGAAAGACTCTCTTAACGAGTGTATTTATCACGGGTACTCGTTTAATAGAGAATCTAAACTTGATCAAACCTGTATTTTTCCCGCAACACCTGTAGTATCCATTCTTGATGCCATATTCACAGCGTCGCCCCAAATATCATACAGCGGTTTATGGGCACCCACTACTCCTGCCGTTACTTCCCCGTGCGATATCCCAATTCTCAGTCTAAAGTAATATCTCATTTTCACGATGTTCAAACAATTTATGTAATTCAATATCGGTACACACCTATACGGCTTCGACGTGTAAAAAGATTTCTCTTTTAGCTTCTTTAGAACTGCCATCATCTTGGTAGCAAACTCAGCCATCACTTTGACCACGTTGTCGCTGAAATTCTCTTCGCTCTCATCGCTGTGCATTGAATCGCGTCGACTTGCTTCTAATCCACAAGCTGCCATATAGGTGGTACCTAAACGAGATCGTTGATTGTTAATTTCGTGATAATTTCACATGTACCAGAGAGACAGAATGATTCGGATTTACCGGCGATCTTGATTTTTTCGATTTGACAGACGAACTGCGGCTCGAATAATAACTTGTCGAACTCGCATATGATTTCATTCAAGTCTACTAAACTGTTGCTCTCGTCGATCGATACGTCCGTCAATGAAGCGAACATGACCGCCACGTTATTGTGGGCTTCGTGATACGGTTCGTGCTCTTCCGATCTGTTCATATTCAAGTAGAATTCCGCTGCGTAAAATTTCCGCCAAGTATAATTACGATGCTAGTTTATATTCTCATTCGCTTTAGTAGCAACGTTTAACTTACCAACATGTTCCGGTAGAATGTTACGAAGCAGAAGTTTATTCGCGTTTCTCGTGTGAAACGCTTCGTCCTGTTCCTTGGTCAATTGACGTTTCCATAGATAGTCTAATCTGCTCAAATATTCTGCCTGAAGAATAATACGTTCACGAATGCAACTAATCTTATAATATAATAGGGAAAGGACGTATCAATTACGGTGTACTTACTTGCCGATCGATAAGGTGCAAAGAGAACGTGAGGAACAGGACGCTCAGAATGTGAGCTACTTTCGGTTCTAAGTGAGGGTTCCACCTTTCACCTGACTGTGAACAATTACCAATTTATCAACGAAGAAAATTATATTTATCATCGCAGCATCGATCATTAGCAATCTTTTCGAATAAAAATTTACCTGGAACAAATTTGATCGGTACACCCAAACGTTCCACGAATAAAATGACACTACCGCGATAGCTATTACTAACTTTAAGATGTAATGCAGCCTCAGGAACAGAAAGCTCGTCAGAATCGCCAGCGAGCAGGTCTGTGTCATTTGCTAAAAATGATCACGTTATTAGATATATCAGTAATTCGCGCACACGTGGATGTTAAACTTAAAGCGAAATCTACAACTTATACAACGAGTACCTACTAAATAATCTTACCCATGGTGTAGTTATGCAATCGAGATTTGAGCCAGGTTCTACGATGCTGGTCGTATCGTTGCTGTTACGTTCATCCATGTTCTCACATTCGAACTGAAATCATATTGTCATCGAATAATTGAAGAACTAGTCGACGCAGTTTCCTTTTTACCGTCTACTTACAATCATATCGAACATGGCGCACGCTACTAACATTATCGTTATGACCAAATACAGGATTGTCCTGAGAAATGCGCTCCATACGACCTGATAAGTACATAGTAAAAAAATTGGCGTTAAATATTGCGGAAATTCCATATTACATACGACGATAGCGTTCTGACCTTTATGCTAGTTTGATAAAGAAAAGATAATAATTTATTGCGAGGATGCGGAACTTGTCCCTCGTGCTCGTCATGCGGATCCTTGTATCTGTTCCATGCAAAGTGCATCCAAGCTATGGGCATTAATGCGATTAAAAATAACATGGATACGATGTAACTGATCGTTGTGCTCAAATGCCATCTAGAAATTAAACGGTATAGGTAACAAATAAATAAATAATAATGTTCGTAAACGTTCTTGCAATAAATGCTTACTCGGAAGAGAAGAGTGAAGGTACGAGGGAAATGAGTCCCATGAAAATTAGGACGAACACGGCCGAGCTAATGTAAAATTTAAAAAGTGGATCGGGTTCCTTTAGAAACGGTATCTCCCAACTCCACGGTTGCAACGTTATGAACAGCGGATTTATGTTCTCCCATTTGCACCATTGTCTATAGAACCGGTTAAAAATCATGTAATTATTATATGCGACGTTTCTGTTTTATTTTTTAAGTTTTATATAAAACAGAAGATACACGGTGAATAAATCGAAAGGATGATACTTACTCCCATTTAGTGAGAGGCATTTGCTTGATCGCGTTCTCCATTTCCACGTCCGCGGCTTTCAGCATCAGATGATAATCTTTCAGGCAGGAGTCCATGAAGTGCGTGCGGCGCCTGCAGGCACCGATGTCTACGTGATTACTTATAGTAGCGGTGAGCCGTCTACTGTTCCTTGAGCCAGAATTCATATTGTTAACGCTGAGGAATCTCACGTAATGCTGCTTGTTAGACGCTGCCGGGGGATCCGGAGTCATGACTGTCAAAGTGTTCTCGCTGTTCTGCAACAAGGTTCGCCTGTCAACGATGCGAAATACTTCACAGAAATTCGTTTAACGAGCAACAGTTTGTCAGTGGCGTAGGAATTAAATCGAACGTTGTTAAATCAAGTTCGAGCGATATTGGCTCACTTTTTGTTCGTGTAGATCAGGGTTTGAAAACAATTACGATATCGATTCTTGAAACAGTTGTCGAGAACTGAAATAATGCCACAGGAAAAAATCCGCTGTCTACTAATAAGAGTTTTTACATTTTGTCGGTTCACTGAACTGACTTATAGCCGATTGAAACAGTTACCTTCGGAATCTTTTCAATCCCTGGTACATTTATGGAAGCGACATAATAAGGCCGCGCAAATCTCTCATTCGTCACGATAGCATATGTCTTGCAGTAACTGTAATTAAAGTAATTTTCCATTTGTTCACCACGGGCTTCCTACGCCACCGGGGAATACGCACCTGCGTGATACACGGTTCGGGCTCGGGAGTGGACATTGCGGGGGTGATCAGGTAGCTTCGGATCCCGTACTGCTTCAGAGTCTCGTCGTTCAAGGTGTCCACCGGGACGCAATCATATTCGCTGGCGTCGATCAGATCCAACGTCTGTTGCGTAATATGAACCTTGCCCGGTTTCCCGGTTTGCTCCATTTTATTAGCTATAACGACGTCGCGTGACCAAACGTCGTATTGCCACTTGTTAGCACCCAGGATCCCCGATATTATGTTCCCCGAGTGGATACCTATTCTCATGTTCACGTCCACGCCGCTCTCGCGACGCACCCTCGCTCTCACGTTTTTTATAATCTTTATCATATCCAGTCCTGTCAACGTGTCAATGTATCTGGCGATTAAACATTTCAAAAATCTTAAACGTATACCTGCTGAAACGTATTTACCTAAATCTACGCAGCTCTTGGCGTGCTGAGAATTCGGAGTCGGTACACCGCTCACGCAGTAGTAACAGTCACCTAAGAATTTGATACGGAGGACGTTGTGCCTCTCAGACGCTTCGTCGAAACTACCAAACAGTTCGTTCAAAGTGTCGACCAACTTTCGCACGGGCAACGTGACGGTCAAACCGGAGTAGTTCACCACGTCGGCGTACAAAATGCTCACGTCTTTGTGTGTCTCAACGCAGAGATCGCTAAAATATCACATCAGATAATTTTTTACGCTGTTGCGTACGTAGAATCATGATAAAATAAAATCGTTATAAAAACGAATTTACGTACCTGCGAGGTCGCCCCTTAGGCGGAGGTTTCTTGTGCTCTTCTATGAACTTGAAGATGTCTCGGAAATCTTTTTTTATCTTCGCAGCTATATGTTGCGGTAATATGCTTCTCGTCAGTTGTTCCTACAAAATGGTATCGTTTCGGTCTTACATATAATAAACCCCTTGACAGTATGATCAAACATTATAGAAAACGTAGAGACACGTACTTCTTGATCCTTTTCATAATTGAGTCGCAGCGTCGATTCGACGCATTTTCGCCGATCGAGAAACGACCGCCTAATAACGATCTCGTTCATAAATCTGAAGTATAGCCCCAGTCCATTGACGCAAGCAAAGTAAATCGTGTCTGTAATAATCTGAAAAATTCATCGGTCTGAATGATTGCGTATAATAATTGAAATCCATTTGATACGATGAAATACTCTGCCGTTCAAAGATACAATTACGTGATCGAACGCGAAACTTTACCTTCGTGTAATACTTAGAATGATCGAACGTATTTCTATAACTGATTAACGTAAGCGTGGTCAGGTAGCACACCGTAGCCGTGATCCCGAGCATGAAAGCGTGTAGATTCTCCGTGAGAGGTAAAAAAACGTAACAAGCTAAAAGCGCTTGAGTCGCGTACGCAGGCCTGCAAAAAAGAAATGCAATTACATTTACGTAAATGTATTAAGAACCCGCGACATTGCAGCAAAAAACTATAAAACCTGCTACTCGCAATTAACCGATATTTAATTAAAGCTGATTCATTCGTAGGAATTGTACAGTGGCTTGATCCCTGTGTAAACAGCTACCAATTGCATTTTCTAATTTCTGCACCGGCGAGCTTAGAGAGATTAGAAGAAAGAACCATAAACGATGGCGATTATCAAGATTCAACATCTGCCGGCTTCAGCCTCGCCGGAATAAATTAGAAATAAACGTCTTTTAACAAGCCGCGCGAAGTTTCCTTATTTATTCCCAGAATATCCGTTTTTAAATGAGAAAAGGCAGCTGCCTGTAATTGACGGGACTGGCGAAAATGTCGCTCTTCGGTACCTGTTGCGAAATTGTTCGCAAGACTAGATGAGATTAATATCGATAAGCGGCTCGCCGATATTTCATAACTGCGGTTTACAGCAGGTGTAACGAGACGCGAGCGAGGCTGTTGATGATACGATTTGATCGCAGAAATTGTCTTCATTATTAATACTTTTTAAGAAACAAATAATTCAACGAGGCTTTCTACGTCGTACGCCGCTCGAATTTTTGCGGCAATCGAAGCTTTTATTAATTAGAACATTGCTAGTTACCTTATCGGTATCGGTGGTATTTCGTCGGTGTACATGAGGGTGTAGTACATAGGGACGATCAGGTCAGCGGTTACAAGGAGCACCACGATCAGGCAGGACAGCATCACCGACATATAACTGTTCTTGGCGATGATCTTCGATCGAAACGAAAGCGCGATCACCGGGCAGAGTAACGCGCTGACTATGCTGTAAACCACGACGTCCACCACGCAATTCTCGATGCTGACCTGTGGCAAAAAAGTGGCAACCTTTGGAACGTGCTCTTTTTCCCTTTTTCAATCGAGGGTGTATTTTTGGCGATACTGGTCGTAAGTCACGCGTGGTCCCACCGGTAATATGTATGTACACCATGCGGGTCTATAAATAGTAGCGAAATAACCGGCCGCACCTTACCAATGGAAAATTATCGATTCGGCAGTCACGATTGTGATCCGACACAAATAGTTACAATTGCAGGTACTGAACATTTTAAGAAAAAATTGGACGGAGCCAAATTAAAAGGTAGTTTCTATCAGAAGAATGTATTATTTACTAAAAGTATTCGTGGTACGAATGCACGCGATAAGGTAATTGATAACGAAAGAAGAAACTTTAATGAACTCGATACGCTGTAGATTGGTAGACGCGGCTCGTAGTAGACTTCAACTGGATACGCGTACTACGACGCGGAGTATTACTGTTACGCGCGTTTCTGTTTCGCTTACCATTGTAACCAGAATCAAACAATACGTGGTTCCGAGGGCCAGTTGCAAAAGACCGAAGAGCGACAGATAACCATACTGAAGCCTCCTCTGGTAGACCGTGAACAGCTTCTCTAGGCTCTTATATTTGAACTGTTTCTGAAAGTGAAAGCCCGCGTTCAGATTATGTATTCCGTCGTGTGATCGAATCGTTGTTTGAACATTCTACCCGGTGGTCATCATTGTCGCAATGATATTATCATCGACTGTCTGGCATTTTTAAAAACATTTTACGAGGGAAAATTAGAATCACCGGAAGAGAGAATTTTATATGTAAAGAGGCATAATTTGTAGGTCGTGTTATACTTTACAGTAAGACTTACAATTCGACGATTAATATCGCGAACTAAATTCAACGGGATGCTCAGTTTTAGATGCGTACATTCTACTTTCACTCGAGGCCATTTGAATTTCACGCTTGGCACAACGAGCGTGCCTTGCTGGCTTACGAATTTTCGTTTGCGAAGAACGATGAACAGCAAAACTAATGTAAAATAATGTCTAGCGTCAGATTAATAATAAATTGGTATTCGAATTTGAAAGCGGATTATCAAACACGGGCACACGTGTTCTATTACTCTCGATATCAGCGAAGAAACATGCACGTGATGAAAAGGAAACGTCGATTGAACTTGTAACATATGGCTATGCGTAGGCTCCTACATCGCTTTTCTACACTTTTGTTTAGAAATCATAAAATCTGATATTTCCAATGAATACTAATTAGTCTCGCAGACGCTACTCCTTGAACAAATAATTATTTTCTTCGTGAACACGTTGTCAAACAAACGGGATTTATTGTCATGAAATTCTAATTGAGTCTGGAACGCAGACAGAAAAGATTTTTCCACATTACCTACGCACCATCCGATATGGGATCATATAGAAATACATGTCGCAGAAGAACATCGCGTGGTGTTCACTTAAACGAACTAAAAAATGTAATTAAATGTCTGCAATCACATTAATTTCTCACTGAAGACGTTCCTTTCACCTCCTTCTATCTAATTCTACATCCTTTTGTCAGTATCAAGCACTTTTTAAGTACACTTTGGTACAATCACGATGCAACGAAGAAGAAGCTGTACTCGATTAATTTAAGGACGATCATCTCTCAGTCACACTAAAGGGTTTAAAGAACCACGAACCAAGGTGGTGTATCTCCGGCAAATGTCACCGGCTATCTGATGCCGAGACCGACGTATGTCACGATGCCCGAGGTGAATTATGCGAGTCGTTAAGCAGGATAAAAATCGGTCCGAGCCGAAGCGCAGTCGCGCGCTTCCACCGTCTCTAGTTTTCCACGATTTTCCTACTGGAGGAAGAACGCCTCGATGCCTATCCGACGGGAAAGGAACCACCACCGGCTCGTCATTTTCCCCGTAGTCTGCGTTTCGCGCGTGCGTTTCTCGCATCGCGGCCACGGCTCGGACGAACCTTTCGTCCGGTCCGGCGAATATTGATCTTCAATCCCGAACCTCTCGGGCCCGACCACTTTCTTTCTATCCACCTTTTCCTCGTTCTATCCGTTTTCCTCTATATCGGACCGCGGACGTCCCTTTCATTTCCCAAATATTAATAATTAATCGTCTCATCTGACGCGGTGTCCCAAACAAGAAAATAAGAAAAGGTAGAAACGAATGAATCCAAAGGTCATCGCTTATTCTCGGAATAATCTTCGGCAAATAAAGTGCTAAGGATACTGAGAAATTAAAGCGAGGGGAAGCACGGAACTATTATAAAAACTGGTACGAATGATTTCTAGGAAAACGCTATCTTGCCTTTGTAATGAATCTTTGAGATCTTCATGTTTGAACAGACTTATTGTTTGAGTCTAGACGGGAAAGAACAGGATCGATACTGTGCGAAGGATCGAGAGATCGGGGAACACATATTTAGCATTCTTGTAACCGCGAGATTAGAAGTTTCGATAACGGCGGACGTCGATAACGTGGCCGGCACAAAATGTTTTGAAAGTTCGTGAAAAGATAAGAATGTTTAGAAAAAATAATCGTTTATCTGTTTTTTGAAAGTGAAGCACCGGTGCTCCTGTTCTCAATGTAAATCGAACACCTCGACGATTGAAAAGTGAAAAAAGAAATGAAAAACGGTGATAAAAGAGGTGACGTCAGAATCTGTGTTGTACGGAGAAAAATTCTTCACCGAACGGAACGGGACCCTCCTTCGACGCCGATTTAATGATACAGACACATCGATATCGATTCACTAGCGCGCATCGTTAGATTGCGACGAAGGACGCGATCCACATTGAATACATTTTTCCCCGGTGCAGTTACCAAGTGCATTCGTCGATATTGTGGCAAACAGACGATTCACGCGATCACTCGACGCGGAAAAAAAGCAACTTTTCCGTGTAATCGAATCAGCGGACGTGAAAAAAAAGCGATATAACATCGTACTGCTCTTCAGGCTTCATCGCGTAAGCAACTGCATACTTACATACACCGGTGAAAAAGTTATCGAGATTCGACAGATAAAAACTCGGCAATAATCAATTGCAATTGCCTGGCAATCATCGGCGACGCTTACCAGATACCGACTTATTATCCGCACTGACGTGAACCTCTAACGGTGGTCGCATCTATCCTAGAGTCCTTATAATTCAATTATCACTCGTGGCCTGTTAACGCTGCGCAAAAAACGTGTGAAGCGCTACTAAAAAACCAAAGACATTTATCTGTGATTAGAATGATACGAAAATGAGCTGAATTATCTTGTAGTCGAAGTACACAGTCGTTTAAAACTTTTAGAGTAGTCAGATTCTTTATTTAAACGACATGTGTACTCATTGTAGATATACAAGAACTTGCTACTCATAACTTCATTGCTTTCAAATTCTTCGATTACGACTGTTAAGTCATTGAATTGGAATTATAAAAAAAAAGTCAACACGAACATACTCCGCAAACGTTCACTTGTGCAAATTTCACACAGAGAATTTCTCAGAACTTCCGCGGAAGTTTGATTAAATATGTCCAGCGTCTCTCTCGAATACCAATAAAACTCGCCGACAAGTTTTTCCTAATTTAATTCATTCCGTGCGTCGCCGGCTTCACACATACCGGTTCGCTGATATTACTATTATTATTTAAGTGCCGAGGATGATACTTCTCCCAGAATTCTTGCCTACTTTCGATCAAGATCGGTACAAAATATTTTAATAAGCATCGGGATAAAAATTTTAAACCTCCTACCAATGTTTTTAACCATAAGTATTATCGCGAAACCGAGAGTATATACGTAGCCTGGCAAATTCGGATGACAAAGAGACGTCTGCACGCCTACGCGATCATCGAAGAAATGTTGAACTCACTCGCAAGCTGGTCCAGGTCCACTCGTCAAGGTTGTTAGGCGCGACGATCCGGGCATGGTTGACCATGTGCAGAGAGTTTAACGAGGCACGGGTGACCAGTTCCACGTCCATTTTTCCTCGAGACACCGATTATCTCGAGCGTGCGATTCCTGGCTACCGATCGAACGGGCGATTGATCAACGGGCGATGACCACGACGATGACAGACCACGACGGCGACGACGACGATGATCTCACGGTTGACCGACCCATCGCGGCTACGATCTACGGCCAGACTGATCCACGGATGAAAATGACTCAACCTGAAGCGGCTCACCGGCCGCGGCTTCGTGTTCCGTCGTGCCGCCTCTAAACCACTACAGTTGCTAAGCCTATACCGTTTTATCGTGATAAGGGAAACGGGCCACTCTAAATGTTCCCTTCTCCCCTCTATCCATACGTTCCCCCTTGATCGCCGTATACGCGTGTCCGGTAAAAGCACGGTTACGCTTTTCCGAGTCTCCTTCGGAGATGCACAATGACGCGAGCAACGAAACCACCCGCTGCTCGGAGGGTCAGGATTGATTACTCCGTTCCCTTTGCGAGGGATGGGATTTTTCGTCCGTTTCCTTCCGACTCCACGAAACCTTCGACGCTCATTTAAATGGTCCGCATTAGGATCGGATGGCTCACAGCTGAAAATAAAATGAAAAGTTTCCCTGAATTAGAAATATCATGCGTGTATCATCGATATGGCTATAAATGAACTTGATTTATATAAAAAAAAAAAAGTATTCTGAACGAGGGGAGGATCATCTTTCCAGCGATCACGGTAGCCGGTTTCGAGCGTGAAAGTGACTTGAACGAGAGCAACAACTTGGTCATTGAGTACGCTCGAGTAGTCCTTGCTGCCAGAAATAACGCACGTGCACTTATGAATAAAACCGTCGTTGATAAGTGTAAACGTCTGTGCATACCTTGATCTGCAATTATTTCTAAAAATAGAATAGTATAATCGATCTAAAATATAATAAATCCTTGAACCGTTCTAAGTAAAATGATTGCAAACAGAAGTCTCGAGTACGCATGGAAGTGTTGAATGACAGAAGAATTATGCAAGACGGTAAAAAAGAACCGATTACTAAGAGCACGCGGCAATTAATGTATCAAGGCAATAATTAACGTCTGAGCTTGTAGAAGTCACACGCGCGGAGAATCGCAAATCATCTAGGGGGTTTCAAGAACCGATTCGGCCGCCTCTTAATTATACGACTTTAAATCTTCTTTTGTATGCAAGTAGACGATGCCTCATGACGCCTTTCCGCGACCAAAATCAACCTGCTTACGGATGGCTACCGATGAGTGGACGCGATTCAGTCTGTGCGTTGCAGAATATTTTTCAGCAAAATCATTACATGCTCAGTGCATAAAATGATTTCGTCAGCGAATAACCGATCCATATTATATTATATCATTATTTAATAGGCGTCATTTCGTTTTCATGAAGTTGTAACGATAAATGGTAACTATAGTTGTTAGAGTTCATTGTTGACGTGCACGCGGTAGTATATTTGACTTTTTTAGTCTGCAGGATCGAAACGTGGAACGCGACGAATAGCGTACGATCGTACTCTCGTTTAATCGATTAAACTTTTGACTTAGAAGCATCGATGACCGACTGATAATCTTGTTAAGATTAACAATCGGCTGAATCATGCGATCAATCGTTCTCCGCGAGTAATTACCGTTCCGCTGAAAAATACTGCTTCTTTGTAACGTTACAGTAGGGTGAGAAAGTGCTACAGTCTCTCGTAAGTGATGAATCCGTTTGTTCGTTTTGTCATTAGTGCGGATCGATTGTTAATTATTAGCGATGAAACTGCGTTTATCCGAGGACGAGTACCTCGTCGTGGCGCATGTATAAAGTGTGACGATAAAATGCGTAATTCAACAAAGGAAAACGCGTACTGTGAGCGCATAATCGCAAGGCTTCTGTTTTTTCTGTACGCGCGAAGCGATTAAAGTCAGCGTTAGATTACTATTACATAAAACCGTCTACGCTTCCAGAGTCGTCATAATAAACGTGACAATTATTGTTTTTTTAATTACAGCTACTGTGCATTTAGCAAGATCGTTTGTATCTCACCTTTCCTCACCGATCCAATTTCCGTCAAACTTATCCACTGCAGACTGTAGAATCCACTACGCGGACACTTTGTTCGGAGGAATTCATCGATGGATCGAGCACCGTTCAGTCGCGTTGAGTCGTCGCGCACAATAAACTACTTTCGTCTGACAAAACTTTCCACCCGGCGATATCTCCATGAAACATGGTATAAGCTCGATAGAGTCGGGCCATGGACATGGGTCGTACACCTACGGCTCCTTTTCGATTCGAGTCATGGTAGAAATCCCAAGGACGCACGCCAGCATCAGTCACTCCAATATGCGTGTACGTACGCGGTGTCCGAAAAACACAGCTATGAAACGTAATAAAACAATGCTCATTTCAATCGTCTTTAACACTGTTTCATTAAATAACGATACGAACAAATCAATTTATATCGTTCGATTGTATTCTTATAAACAAACATTTACCTTATAGACCTCTTCGTTATTCCTACTCTTAATGTGAATCTATATGCTTTTACTATTAAGAAATTAGATTTTATTAGATTGATTCAGATTTCAGATGAAAATGGAAGTTTTAATAGGATATACAGTAATATTCATTTTTTAAATCAATTATTATATTCGTATATCGATTTCGAGGGTCAGTTTTCCGCGGACGAGTTCTCCACTTACGCAACAGACAGGGCAAGCTTCCTAAATAGGCGGTAGAATTTTTACTCCCGAACTTCTCGTTACTTATGTGAAGGATAAAAAGTATCGATACACTGTGTATGCAGGCGCGTGTACCTGTGGGTATACGCACGTTTGATCAGCGATGACTAACTTACCCGGCTCAATGACACGGGAAGGTCCTCGGTAACGTTTTATAACTTCCGTCGTCTCGCTGTCGGAAGGTCGTCGATCGACGGATTCGTATCCCTTGAACGGCACACGAAAACGAGGCATCATCTGGTCGTGAAATTCATCACGATAATCACGATACTGTGAGCGGGCGCATATGAAACACTTTCTTTGAAAGCGCGGTGCACTTTGCGACAAGTGCACTTCGCGTTTGAATTTCGACGTCTTCTCATTTTATGGATCGCTTCGATCACGTGCTGCGGTGAATCAATTCTGCCGATAATGACAAATTCCTTTTTCCTCGGGTGAATAATTAGAGTTTTCAATTATTGTCGCATATGATGCTCCGATTTCTACCGTTTATTCTTCGTATGTAATACAAATAATACATTGTAACATACACTTTTGTGAATATACACCCCCTTTTTTTCATTACTACTTCGCGTTGATGACCATCCGATCGTCAATAGTTTGGATTTGCATAAGTTTCTTATTATCGCTGCACAAACAATTATAGCTTACTGTTCACGGACGGAAATCGAGCGCGCGTTGGAACGATGAATGTCTGATAATCTTCTTAAAAAAAATGACTGCTCGCTAACTTATCTATTTTAGATAAAAATTCAGCGATACGAGAAAGTTCGATACTTCAAGCCCCCAGAAGTCTTAACTGAAACTCTATTAATTGCGATTCGTAATACTTCACGAAACTTCGACATGAAACAAAGAAAACCAATTATTATAGCAACTAATTAAACAAACATACTAGAAACGTTTCTAAAAAGAACGTAGCACAATAACTTTATTTTTCAAATGATACATTTATGTTCAATATATACTATACGATGATTCATACGTAACATTTCTAGATTATAAATTAATACAAAGTGTGAATCGACACATATTCGAGTATGTGTCCTCTTAAGCCTATGTTTTTAACAGTACGTATAATATTAGATAATAAAACCAGTATATCGATTTCGAGGGTCAGTTTTCCGCGGACGAGTTCTCCACTTACGCAACAGACAGGGCAAGCTTCCTAAATAGGCGGTAGAATTTTTACTCCCGAACTTCTCGTTACTTATGTGAAGGATAAAAAGTATCGATACACTGTGTATGCAGGCGCGTGTACCTGTGGGTATACGCACGTTTGATCAGCGATGACTAACTTACCCGGCTCAATGACACGGGAAGGTCCTCGGTAACGTTTTATAACTTCCGTCGTCTCGCTGTCGGAAGGTCGTCGATCGACGGATTCGTATCCCTTGAACGGCACACGAAAACGAGGCATCATCTGGTCGTGAAATTCATCACGATAATCACGATACTGTGAGCGGGCGCATATGAAACACTTTCTTTGAAAGCGCGGTGCACTTTGCGACAAGTGCACTTCGCGTTTGAATTTCGACGTCTTCTCATTTTATGGATCGCTTCGATCACGTGCTGCGGTGAATCAATTCTGCCGATAATGACAAATTCCTTTTTCCTCGGGTGAATAATTAGAGTTTTCAATTATTGTCGCATATGATGCTCCGATTTCTACCGTTTATTCTTCGTATGTAATACAAATAATACATTGTAACATACACTTTTGTGAATATACACCCCCTTTTTTTCATTACTACTTCGCGTTGATGACCATCCGATCGTCAATAGTTTGGATTTGCATAAGTTTCTTATTATCGCTGCACAAACAATTATAGCTTACTGTTCACGGACGGAAATCGAGCGCGCGTTGGAACGATGAATGTCTGATAATCTTCTTAAAAAAAATGACTGCTCGCTAACTTATCTATTTTAGATAAAAATTCAGCGATACGAGAAAGTTCGATACTTCAAGCCCCCAGAAGTCTTAACTGAAACTCTATTAATTGCGATTCGTAATACTTCACGAAACTTCGACATGAAACAAAGAAAACCAATTATTATAGCAACTAATTAAACAAACATACTAGAAACGTTTCTAAAAAGAACGTAGCACAATAACTTTATTTTTCAAATGATACATTTATGTTCAATATATACTATACGATGATTCATACGTAACATTTCTAGATTATAAATTAATACAAAGTGTGAATCGACACATATTCGAGTATGTGTCCTCTTAAGCCTATGTTTTTAACAGTACGTATAATATTAGATAATAAAACCGCCGATTTTCGTAATTTTATAATAAATTAATTCGTTCGATAATATTGATTGGAGCAATTCGATTTTAAAATACTCATAAAATATTTAACAAATTGAATATTAATATATTCGTATTTTTTAAAAAACTGTAAAAAGCTGGATGGACTAGAATTTAAAATACAGATTGTCCAATCAATACATATGTATATATGTACATCCATATGAAATGTATTCTAGCATGAAACTCGAGCGTCCAAGAAGTCTAGAACGAGATCCTATTACATTACTGATTTGAGTAATTGCACTTTCTGATTGATTGATATTATATAAGCACAACAAGAAATACTATAACTTACATGATCGTGACAATGTGTACATCTGAATGTATGAAAAAAAATGTAATTATATTTATCCATACTAAAAATGGTCGTTTATTTAATTTAACTTAAAAATGAGACATATATCACTTTTTAACGAGAACACCGCTTATCAATCCGTGTTTCTTTTTGTAGTATAAAATATGACGCATGTTTACAGAGTATCGAGTATCAAGACCTACGAGAAGATACGTTGAATGTTTTCCACGACGTCTGCCGGAAGTTCGGCGTACACGGTGCACCATTCACTTGGAAAATCTCGTATAGCGCTTTTGATGAATTCCATTATGATACCTTTCGCTTCTGCATAGAAAATGGGAATCATAATGTCAAAGCCGTATTTCTTTCATTATATTAAATAATAAGAAATTATTGTCGAACATACCGTCATCAGTAGCTTTATTGTCGTGTAACACACCGACTGCAATTTTAAGTAACGCAGCCATGTGCTGTTTTAGGACAGGATGACCGGCTTGGTACAGCGTTAACACACTTTTAAACACTGTCGTATATTCTTCGAAATCTTCTCTCAGTGGCAACTGTTCGACAAAGACTGGGAACACTTGTTCAAGCGGTATTCCTGAGTAATTAGTGATTATAAATCGAGCAATAGCTCCGGCTATGTTGTCGCGAATCCCTGCGTGGGACACTTTACAAACCAATGCCGACAACACGTTCAAAATACTTTCGTAATGCCTATTATGTAAATGTTAAGGAGAGAACGATAAACTGCCTGAGGTTTTATAACGAAAATAAAAAGGATACGGATAAACTACTTCTTTCCCATGTAACACTAATTCACCAAGCCCGTAGATCGCATTATTAGCAACTTCATCACTTGGATCTTCCGAAAGTTTCAAATACATGGGCAGAAGCTGGTAAACGAAATTAGTTACTCTATCTCCAAGTCCTCCGAAACATTCAGAGATCGTACCAACTGCGAAAGACCTTTGACCTTCAGATTTGTTCTTTTTCTAGAAATATCGTTTTACGTTTAAATCCCGAAGGCAGTAAAATCATGTTAACAATTAACAACAAACGAGCATAGCTGTACCAATCTGTCCAAGAGCATTGGCAATACAGTACGAAAACAATGTTCGAAGTCTTCCGATGCGACTACTTTTCCAAAGTTAGCTAATAGCTCTCCGGCACATTCAACCAGCAATTCGTCTTGTTCAGCTTCAGTATCTAAATCTTCAGCTTCTTCTTCATCTTGACACGCAGTTGAGCCTACAGGCAATATTCTACGTAAACAATCATTCGATAATGGAGAAGATAGTCTATACTAAGCCTTTACCTGATATAATGGCAATGACACAATTCATTATGGCCTCTTTATGACCTTCTCCAACGAGAACATCTAATTTTACTTCTTTCAGAAGTTTCGTGTAAGCATCCAGACCACAAATAGCGACTGTCCGTTCGGGGCTCAATCTTATCAATTCGGATAACTTTGGAACAAATATAGAGAGAGCTTTCAACAGTGCTTGTTTACCCTCGTTGGTATTAATTTTTGAAAAGCTGATGCAAAACTGTACGATGGCTTCGATCGCAGCTTTGCAAATGTCTTCTTGCGGATAATTGATCACCTTGAAAGTTTCCTCGTAACATTTTTCAAGATATGGCAGGAATGCTTCTCTAAAATAAAAAGTTGGATTGTCAGATTAATTGTTTCACTTAGATACATAAAGTATAACATGAGAATGTTTTACCCGGTATGTTCTGCAATTTCTTTTAACGCCAGAATTGCTTCCTCCTTTTCGTCAATGTACGCGTTTTCAACACTGTAACCCGCTAAGTCGTCGTCATCGTCTTCTTCGTTATCGGTATTTTCGATGTCCTCTTCATCATTTTCATTATCACTAATATCTTCGTACACCGGAAAAGCAGAACTTTCGTCTTCTTTAAAATGAGGCTATAAAAGAAACAAAATAATAACAAATGTAAATGAAATGAGTTCATTCCGCCTGATATTGACTTTGTAAACTACTCACCACAATGCCTTCTGAACTCTGTACGCTCGTCAATAGATATTCAATAATTTCTGGCAATGCATCTGCCATTTTACTTTTCATTATAGTACTAATCGAAGCAAACAATCCATAAATCGACCTCTTCAAGTCCGGATCTTCTGTTTCTTTTAACAACTTTATTCCAAATTCGAGTGATCTATCTGCCAATGGTGCGAAATTCGTCTCTCCTATCGACCCTGCTAGTACTCCTAGAGTATCTACAATATTATGCAACTATTAGTAAGACCAACAAATATTAGATCAATTTTCTAGATTCTTTGTGGTACGAACCAACTGCTTGTACTTGAAGAGCCATGGTTTCGTCGGTCTGCTTTTCCGAGAGGTAACCATTAAGAATGGTCACGACCTTCTCGAAATATGGCAACATTTGTTTTTTACTTGCCAGGGTAGCCGAAGCTATGGCGTTTAGACAAAGTTCTTTAACGTGAAACGAGGCATCCGAATTAAGAAGTTCAAAAAGTTTTTCCATCAAAGTCGGCAAGTATGGCAACAGGTTTTCATTCAAGTTCTCGCAGAATACGACCAGTGCATAAAACATGCGATCAACGAAAGGTGGATCCTTTTTGTTTGGCCTAACATACGTGCTTATGTTACTGAGGTATTCAAATAATACTGGCAACAGATCAGACGAATACTGAGAAATGTCCGGCTGTAAGTATTCAGAGAACTGTCCAAGGGCGAAGAGGGCAGCGTTTCGTACTACAAGATCGGAATCAGCGATCCCTTGACAAGTGCACCGTAAGAAAGATTCGAGATATTTGCTACGGATATACTCTGAACACCCTTCAGCCAATACCGCCATCGATAAGTAAGATGCTTTCTTTGCATATACGTCGTTCCCTTGTAAACTGGGTTCTATATACCGTAGCTATCATGATAACAAACCAACTATTAGATTCACAGCTTACAACAAAATTGATTAAAGATGCTGAGACTCATACCAATTGGGGAATTAATTTCTCTGGGGGCAAGTTGAGTGCAAGCAAATCTAGTGTCTGGGTAGCGCAAGTTACAGGCGTATTGTCTTCATTATCACCATTGAAGTAGACTTCATCATCCTCGTCCTCGGGTTTCGTAGACATGAGCATGAATAATAAATCTATGAAATATTCGATTTAATGTCTTTAGAAACGAACATTATTATATATCTAAATTGGAACTACGTGTTACCTAAGATCGGCTCGACAAGTTTATGTTTGATCATGGCTTTTTTCTTTGTTCTCGCCAACCAGCCGATAAAACCAACTGCTTTAACTCTGATGGAATCGTCCAATGACTTGTTAGAACCAATAGCAATGCACATATTAACAAGAGGTTTAACATGAGGAGTTATCACAGCAATCTCATTCTCGCACAATTCATCTAATAATTCGTAACATAAAATTGCTCTATCTTCATCAATAGTGCTAAGAGATTGAATTACTAACATCACTTGTGGCATCATTTGACGATAAGCATTTATCATCTGAAGAAATTATGTATTATTCAAATACGATTATGAATCATATATTTGCTCAATCCTTAATCATTATATGTGACTCACCATCTGATTACCTTTAACCAAAGGAACAAGATTCTGCATTGTTCTCAAAATGTAATATGCTATAGGACTTCCTAAATCTTGTAAACTATTTAACGTTTGTCCTAGGAGAACTGCAAGTGACGCAGCGTGCTCATGATATGCATCAGGTGCAATATCAGTCATAATTGACAAAGTATAAATTCCTAACTGCAATAAAATTACTTACTGGAATCTGCGAATTAATTGAAATCAAACTACGTGAAGCATTTCGTATTTTCTATACCTCTTTGTCTGCTAAATTTTCACTGGTAACTAAGTGCTGTACAAATTGTAAAACTTCTGGCCACCCATTGTTTCCTATTTCATGTTTTACAATCACGCCTATCAACTGGGCAATTGAATTCTTCACATACTTCTCTGGTTCATGAGTTAAAGCCTAAAAATAATGACATTTATACATACTTTCAATGATAAGTATAATTCTCAAAATAATATTATCTACCTGTAAAATTAATATTTTGAATTCAGTGCGTACAGGTTGTGGCAGTTTGGTCCAATGCTTTCCTTTGCTATATCGCTTTCTAAGTAGCACAGCTGCATATTGCCTTATCTAAATGTAAATGTTGTTTTGTTACACAGCAATTATGATACAAATACAATATGTGTTATAGAATGGTACCTGAGAATTTCTTGATGCCACAATGAGCTGACATAATGCTGCTGTGCATTGAGGGTCTTTAAAAGCTTCCCTAAGTTCAGCTGTGCCCTACAAATATTATATTAATGCAACATGTACAACCTGTTATTTCTCAAGCATGTATATAAAATACATATCCTTAGTTCATAAAGAAACTTGAAGGTCGTGAGATGCACACTAATAGAAATGGAAAGCAACAAACGAGTAATTGGAGAATAAAGAGGCGAAATATCAATGTGGTAAACCTAATTCCCATAAATAAAGATGTCGTTTCTGATAAAGGATATATGACAAATTACATAAAATAATTTTGATTCGATTTTAAGCGGTTATGAGAACAAACACGTGTTTTTAACTTCGTAAAATTTACTCTTATCATTAGCTGTCAGCCCTTTGAAAGTACCTGTTGTATCAACGCGTTATCGGCTACAAGTAACTTCGATAGTATTGCCTCCATTGTTAACGTAATACAATAAATAAAATATCTATTTAACAATATTTTCCAACCAATATGCCCTTGCCAGTCCTGTAAGTTGCTGTAAGTGAGGAATTTCGACTATAGCGCCGTGCGTCGGTAAAAGTAAGACTCCGATGTCATTCACAGCGAGACACCGAGGCAGCGCATGGGCCCTGTCTTGTACGATTTAACGAATTTTTACTATGATACCGTGCTACTAAAGAGATACCATTGACAGTATCTCGTCGGTGTCCATATGTTAAGGAATAATGAAATTCAGGTGTCACTGACAGTGAGAATCGAGATAAGTGTAATTTTGTATTTCCGCGCGGTAGTCACGCGAGCGTTCACGTGACCACGAACCCCCCACTCTCTGGTTCAGCCGTCCGCCATTTGTATTTGCCTCTCTTTTGTACTTGTAAGTACGTAATTGTTATTGTTACCGGTGTAAAGTGTAAAGTGTAAAGTGTAAAGTGTAAAATGTAAAACTGACGACCAGGTCCATGCTCTTTCTTCCAACTCATCTATTATTTCACGTAAGTATCGCAATTACTATTCCTTTACTGTTATTCTTCAATTTTATCTAACAATTCCGTTGAACAAATGCATTTTTGTTCAACTACTTGTTGGACATTTGTGGTATACATTGTTCGTACTTCTACGAGTTTTCTCTATATTATATTGAAATTGTTTGATATTATGTAAAGTGTAAAGTGTAAAGTGTAAAACTGACGACCAGGTCCATATTCTCTCTTCCAACTCATTTATTATTTAACGTAAGTATCGCAATTACTATTCCTTTACTGTTATTCTTCAACTTTATCTAAAAATTCTGTTGAACAAATGCATATTTGTTCAACTACTTGTTGGACATTTGTGATATTTCACATTGTTCGTACTTTTACGAGTTTTCTCTATATTATATTGAAATTGTTTGATATTCTGATATTTTTACGAGCTTCTGACGTATAACACTTTACGTGTTGCGTTCAAATATATTAACTGTTTGAAATTTTGTTCAAAATATTATTAGTAATTTAGTCGTGTGAAGAGACAGGCTCCCTGTTCTTTAGAAATGGTGGGTAACTACGATTACGGTCTAATAATCTGAGTTCTAATCTATTAAAATTGTATTGATAAAATTTCATTTTCAATTTTTCTTTTTTCGTTTCGTGTATTTTTAAAATGCCGGCTCTCATGCCGCTGCAGGAACGACAGAAAAAGACCGATGTTTTTCCTCTCTCTCTGTATTAGCGGAAGTTCCGAGCTCGCGGCTTGTGAGATACTCAAATATTAATTAAACTGCTGCTTTGATATCTCCCAACCCCGACCCGTCTCGATCATTACATTCTTACAAACCTCCATATTTTTGCGATATATTTTCTACTGATGATTGTTATGTATATTATTGGGCTGCATATTGAATGATTTATCCATTTTTAAAAGATTTCATTTTTATATTTTTTACTTTATTAAATCCATTGAGAATTGTTGAAGCGTTTTATTTTACGCTTCGTTTATGATATAAATTTATATTTACCACATGCGCGGGAAAATTAATTGAAATCGCGGAAGAGTTTCGGTATTACATGTTTAGATGGCGGCAGCCACGGCTGCGGCGTACTCGAGTCGCCGATCGACACGATTGTGTCATCCATGATGGCCGAGACAGTTTCCGTGAATTCGAGCACGGTGTCGTGAGTACGCGTTCTCTTTATCGCACATTTAACCGCTAGTGAGACCCATCCGCAAGAGAAAGGGATCCCGGAAAGAATGACAGACAGTCCAGCGGCACTCGTAAGTGTTGTCACTGTCTATTAAACTTTTTAGAGCCGACCGTTTCCCGACCTTCGGTGCCTAATAGATTGGTTATCCGTCGGAAAGAACATGCGCGCATCTAGGGCTTCCCTGCGCTCACTCATGGACGATCGGAACGGCGATCGAATTCGCCGCCGATCGGTTACATGCGTGTTTCGTTGCTCTTTCATACCCAGCTCGATTGCAATTGCTTCGAGCTTCTGAAAGAACTATCACGCGACGTGCAATTCACGTCCGATACGGTATAACGCGCAAACGCAGAATAGAGGTTCGTTGCCCGTTCCCATTTGACGTCACTGGCTGCTAGCGCCTGTCACCTGTTTCTGTTGACAGTGACGTCATGGGTAACCGTGACGTAACCACGAACGATCGTTCGCAATACAATCTCTTACGATCCGTTTATCCTTATGCACAATAAGTATAAGTAATGTCACGTATTGTATTTTCATTCAAATATTTATCGTTAAACATACGTTATTCGCTGTTGTACTTTCAATTCTTTAAATATTAGGGAACGTATTATATAACAACAGATCAAAGTTAATCGTTAATTATTCTTTGATACAAGGGGTCGTTTCTCTTGCAGATCGTTTACCTCGGTCAGTTTTATTTTTACCTGTCGGAGTGGATTTTTTCATTGTACAAATTGTATTCGTCTCTGAGAGGTTCATTCAGCGCGCAGGCCGCTGGTGGTAGTTAAAAGCAAAAACGGAAATGGGCTTGGTAACGCCGACAGCGATGTAACCAAGTTAGAATGCTTTTATCGTCGAATTAAATGGCCAGGAAAAGCCGGAAGTGCGAACGCCGCTTCACAGCGGAGTATTTAATTTTGTATACAGTTCGCGCTATTTATTCTACTCCATCGCTCGCGTCGGTTCTACCCACGAAATGTATCCCGACGTGCTCCACCGTTCTAATCTCTGGCTTTAATTTTCAATGTTTCCTCCGTTTTTCTCTGCTATCTACCGACGTGTTAAGCTTCGAAACTACACGCCAGTTGGTTTCGAAGTACGGCCAGCGAATATCCCTCATTCGATTCCTCATAATATATGGGATTTATATTTCATCTCGCGAATAGTCTACTTTTGTAAAATATTTTAAAATACTCTCTGCGTGAATAAAATTTGTTACATTAAGCAGAGTTTCTCTCGTCACGCAGAGTTTCGTAAATTAAAGGAGATCTTAAGTAAACAGAGATTGTGCTATAAATATTTGCTCAGAAAAGCTATTGGATTCTTCAAGACATTGTCCTCATTGTCAGTTATGTGTTAAATAGAGTAGAATCGACGATTCTATTTAGGCTCGGCATCTCTTTCGAGGCTTATTGTAACGCGAGGAAATAACTGTAACGATGGGTATCAAAGGTGAAGACGGTATCGACGTAATTAGTTTATTCGTTCGTTTTTATACAAGCTGGGAACGTGATCTGTTTTATCCCTGTACGAGGGAGAAACCGTTCCAATCCGGTGGTGAGATAGGATCGTGTAACAGCGTGCGCCGCATTGAATAGCTGCAATTGTGCAGCTGCAGTTCAGTAACGATTATTGGTGTAGGTACATGTACACCAATAATGTTAACGAGACACCTCCTACATTGTCGTTCACGCCCGTACACTCGTCTTCACGAGATTCGTGATATTCCTCCGCTTCAATGCTCGGCATGTATCTATTTTCTTCCACCGTTCTGCTTCTCTTTTCTTTTCACGAGTTGCAATACATACGTGCGTGCTTTTAGGGAGTGAATTAATCTGTTTGGAAATATCTCATGAGAATTCATCGCCCGACTCGCAATGGTAAAATAAATTCAGGATAGAACTTGTATTCTCGTTATACATATTTATTTGATCTTTTGAGTCAAAATTTTTAAAGAAGTTCGTTCAGGAATTTGAAAACAGTCACACAGGGAGGAATACAATTTGGTTGATTGATTATTGTAAAAGAAAGAGCTATCCGTTGGTAGAAATGGAGGTTTTTTTTTTTTAAAGAATATAAATAATCATACTAATTGGCATTATCGGTTCTACGCAAGAGGTTCTTACCGTGTATCAAGGGACTGGTTGGGGCAACGAGCAACGCGTTTCATCATTGATGGTGGCCGGGCAGCGTGTTCTGGCAAAATTACAGGCGACTTCCCATTGTTCGGACACGAGAAATTTATGGTTACGAGCTGCGCTTGCGGTCATATTCCAATTCACATGCCGAGATATTGATCTTAATTTGAATCTACTGGGCGGCGCCTTAATTCAGATCAATTGGACCACCAATTAATTGGAGAGTAACGACCAATCGGCTGCCATGAGAATAATTAGAAGGGCCATAATTACCGGGCTTGTTCCGGTCTGACGAAAAATAAATAATTTTCCATATAAACGATATTGGTCGTACGCGAGGGTACCGTTTTCTAAATTGAATGCGATAAAATGATTGATGAGGACCTGGTTTTATCAAACGGTTTCATAAATGGTCCATCAAGTTATAATCTATAAATTTATTTCTAATGGAATTAAAGAGGAACGGAAAGTCTATGATAGAAATACGAATTTTTTTATTTAATCGTGTTTTGTTGGTTTTGGAACATTTTCTTCTAAATAATTGGCCCGTTGGTTGGCGAGATGGTGAAACGAGAAAGAGGCAACGGTCAAGATCGTCTGCTTCGAATAACATTACCTTGATAATATTTAAAAATATCTTCTAGTAGATATTTCGATCGAGGAAAAAGCATAATGTAAAACATCGTAAATCCGTTGTCCTATATCGGAAACATTCTGATGCAATAGTTACGGTAACACGTCGCGCGAGACATCCGCGGTAACTTTATTTCTTTTTTAATAGATCCCGAAATTTATGCGAACCGTGCGAGTCGTGTTACGAATATCGAGTTTCTGGCGAACGAGAATTATTTACGACGTTATAATTTCTGCCCGGGCGTGGGATTTTAATCTATCGCCGGTGCAAATAGTCCGCGAAATTCTCTCTCGGTAAGCGACTAACCAAGGAATTATGTTTTTTCGCGTGGAATTTAAATATTCACCCGGTTCAAGTTTGCCCTTCAAGAAAGAGCGGTTCTACGATATTCCTAGTTCCGGTCAATTGAAGCATTTGGATCGAATGCATTTTGACGATTATTCCCATAAAGATCGTATAGCTCGTACACGAAAATATTGCGAAAGATTTTCTGTGGAA